ACAATCTCTACAAACTCCAGCACAATGCAGATGAAATCTGAAAAATCAAAGATTAAATTATTTCTAATCAATGCTCTTTCATTCTTTCCCCTCTCATGATAAACCACCTTGTCCAACTCACAGAAAAGAGCCACACTAAGATAAATGAATAGTTACTTGCAAGTTCTCACTGTGTGGGGCAAATCCTGACCCCATCCTTGCAAGAAGGCAATGGAAAGCAAAGCACACCTATGCTTTATTGGAGTGGAGGACCAAGCTGCAGGGACTCCATGCAACAAGATTCCACAACCCCTCTACCCACCACAGAATGGAGTTCTGAAGTTGCATTTTGTTCTGCAACACAACCTCACTCCCCCATGCAGACTAACTCCACCTCTGCCACTGATGGGGTTTGATGGAATGAGGCCATGTCAGTTATTTCTCCCTGTGATGGGTTTGGTCACAGAGACCCCCTTGGGATTGTCACCTGACATGCTGAATTTACCTCTGAGCCCATTTTCCCTGCCAGCTTGGGACTCCAGAACCCTGCCTTGTTGAGCCAGACACACTAGTCTGCTGCAATACAGACCCAGGTCTGGTCCACGCTCCCAAAGCTGCAGACTTTAACCAAAAACTGCTCAGCAGGTCACCTATCTCCAGCACCCAGACACCCAGTTCCCAATAGAATCAAAACCCCAAATAAATCCGTTTTACTCTGTATAAAGCTTATACAGGGTAAACTCATAAACTGGCCACCCTCTATAACACTGATAGAAAGATATGCACAGCTGTTTGCTCCCCCCGGTATTAATCATTTACTCTGTGTTTATCAATAAACAAAAGTGATTTTATTAAGTATAAAAAGTAAGATTTAAGTGGTTCCAAGTAATAACAGATAGCACAAAGTAAGTTACCAAGGAAAATAAAACAAAACACGCAAGTCTAAACCTGATACATTAAGAAACTGATTTCAGGTAAATCTCACCCTCAGAGATGTTCCAATAAGCTTCTTTCACAGACTAGACTCTGTCCTAGTCTGGGCCCAATCCTTTCCCCGGTACAGACCTTGTTAGTTCCAGCAGGCATCCTAGGTGAAAAGCAGGGACTTTCTCATGATTGGGACCCCTTTTGTTCTGTTCCACCCCCTCTTATATCTTTGGCACAAGGTGGGAATCTTTTGTGTCTCTCGGTTCCCACCCTTCCTTCTAAATGGAAAAGCACCAGGTTTAAGATGGATTCCAGTATCATGTGACATGGTTACATGTCACTGTAAGACTTCATTACTCACTGGCTGGCACACATGTATACAGAAAGGCTTATAAGTAAACAGAGCCATTTACAACCAATTGTCCTAGACAATGGGAGCCATCAAGATTCTAAACCACCATTAATGGCCCACACTTTGCATAATTACAATAGGACATCAGAGTTATACTTCGTATTCCTAGTTTTAGATACAAGAATTATACATTCATACAAATAGGATGAGCACACTCAGTAGATTATAACCTTTGTAATGATACCTTACAAGAGACCTTTTGCATAAAGCATATTCCAGTTACATCACATTCACACTTATAAGCATATTTTTATAAAACATATGGAGTGCAATGTCATACTCCCCATGCCATGTAGTAGGGGACAACAGCCCAACTGCCGAGGCAACATGAGCAGTGGAAAGTTAGAATTCTGTTCCTCAGGCCTGTAGGGTCCTTACATAGAGCAAAACCAGTTTAAATGGGCTTTGCTCCATGTAACAGAATTTGGCCATATCTCTATGGCTCACACCTAGAATTTTGGGTACATGCTTTAATGGGAATAAATGAATAATACAGAAGAAAACTGATATGTTTCACATTCAGTATGATGGCCTCTCTAAGAAATGTTCATTTAAAAGATGTTGGTCAAAGAATTGATCTTTGTCCCATGACCTTTGATTTACGCAATGAGATGCCTCTGATGCAATAAATGTTTTGCAATATTACATGCCCTGGACCAAATCACCAGCTGGTGCAAATTGACATAACTACATTGGCCTTAGTAGAGCTACACCAAATTACACCAGCTGAGGATGTGGGCCTCTGTGTCTGAAGCAGATATATTATGTAAACTGTAACAATTTCAGCAATTATTTGGTCATGTGAACAGGAGACATCTGCAGACCTGACAGGTTTGGTAGTGTCCCAGTTGTGCTGCAGCATAGGGTCTTCAGGTCTTGGCATGTCTTTATGAATCTTACTTCCTTGACTAGTAGAGCTCAGGTGTCATGAACATAATACATTTGAACTCAGTGGGACAGGGCAGGAAAAAAATTGATAGCAGCTTGCTATACAACTCCATAGTGTCAGTGCTGAAGGAGCCTTTCCCACATGGAAAATGAGTTGAACATTTGCAGTAGGAGAAAGGATAACTTATGGGGGAATTTTATGAGGCTACATCTAGACTGCACTCCACTGGTGGTGGCATATAGGATATGTGTAGCTACAGGCTATAATGAAAAGCAAGCTGCATACATACACTCTGTGGTGTGTAGCTATACATGGCAATGAAAGGCTGCGGCAAAGGGGAGGCAGCTGTGGTGGAGAAAGGCTCTGGCAATGATAAACTTCTGAAGCCTTCCTTCACTGTCTCCTCCATGCCTTTTCCTTGTTGCTAGAGCCTTTCCGTGTGATGGGAAAGATTCCAACAGTGGGGATGTAGCAGGTCCCTACACTGCTAAAAATAGCACTATATGTGAGGGAGACATTGCTTGAGCATGTAGAGAAGAGAGCTGTGTAGGGTACGTACCCACAGAGTTCAGGCATATCTACACTCTACTTGCCTAAGCAGTGCCTCACTGTCTCCACTGCTATTCGTACACATGCTAAGGGGGTGTATATTATATATACTCTACATGCCACCATAAAGAGTGTACATTGTAGACATGCCTTTAGACTTCCATTGGCCTTCAGTTTAAGTCAGAAGTGAGATGGGCGTTCTCTCATGATCAGTCAGTTTCATACAAATTCACATAGAAAAGATGATTGACCATAGATAAAGTAGATGTGAAATGCTCCAGCTCAGAATTGCAGATGGTTTCACAACCAGAATGTAAAACACTTTCAACACCTAGGACTTCTGTGTGTTCTTTTATTGGGTTCATGTTTTGGAGATGGTTTCTCTTTCTTTTGTTTAGTTTGTTTTTCAGTCATCACTTTTTTGATTTCCTTCTTGTTCTTTATTTTTAAAAAGCCAATAACCCTTAATTATTTTTTGTAAATGGTATCTTTATACTGTCTGAATATATATATTTACCTGCAGAATTGGTTTGGGGTTTATTTGGTTTGGGTTTTATCTGTTAATGTCTGGTCCTATTGCCAAATATAACCAAGTTAGCACTCAGGAGGCTAACAGTCTGCATTAAATAAATTATTCTTGCACTATCTTCAAGGAGGTAGCTACATTAGACTTTAAATTATACTTTCTTCTTATGCCTCCTGTGACAAACTTCTCTCCCAGTGGCGTTAATCCAGCATCCATCCTTATAGTGCAGTTTGCAACCTGTAAGATGTGGTGTTATCCCACAGTGCTGCAAAGATTATTTATATTGGCCCTGTGTGATTAAAAAATCCTATTTGTCTCAGCTAATGAAAGCTAGCAGATCTACCCAGAATGCATCTGATAGTGTAACAAGATTTCCAGATGCACAAATTCAGTATATAATGCTTGCCATACAAAAACATCATTTACTGTGGTGTGTGTGTGTATGTGTATGTATGTATAATGGTTTGTACAAGGAAAAATACAGTAATACAAAACAAAGGCTTAATTATTTTTGTTTAATTCAGTATTCCTTAATCAAGTAACATTTCTAATGATTTTTGAGGATTTTTGTATAAAGATTGGAAGATCCAGGTCAAAACAGGAACAGAAGCATACAGTATAGCAAAAAAAAATTAGTCCCAAGTAGGATTAGTGCCAATGGGACTGTGAGTTACTGGGGGAAGAAAGGATGCATAGAAATAATGTAGTTTGTCTTCATTTTTTTCTCTCTCACACAAACTCCTTAAAGTGTTTTGGGGTAAAATGCACACAATGGGAACAGGATCAGTCCCATAGAAGCCAGTAACAAAACTCCAAGATCTAGTGCTATGTCATAACCTTTTCAAACATTAACTTCACAAGGTAATTATTGATTAACTGACTTTTCCCTATGAGGTCCTTTATAAAACTCTGTTGGCGTTTTTTTAAGTTCATCTGCAAATCTCTCCTTTGAAAGCAAAGGAGCGACCGACTGGTTTTAGCCTCCCACCTCAATCACCCACAATTGCTCCGTATCAGCCTTTTGTTTTCTGATAGAGTTGCTCAGTAACTTATTTCCATTCTCGCCTCCTCAAGAACATAGGAGACTAGATTTGCCAGTTCGCTTTTGCCAGCCATCCTACTCTCTCTCACTCAGAGAGGAGGGCTGATCCTGCGTTTACTTACAGAGGTGTAAAGTAGGAACGTCCAACAAAGTCAGGCCACATCTCGTGTAACCGCCGAAAAAGAGAGCGAGCAGGGCTCCAGTCCTCTCTTGGCTTCCCTTCTAAGCGTTTCCCCGTAGTGCTTAGCTTACTCTGCCGCCTATTGATGAAACAGGGAGACTTGAGGCAGAGCTTTATTCCTGCCCTTCCCAGGTAGGGGGCTGCTGGCGGGCAGGGCTGCAAAGCTGCAGCCAGAGCTAAGGTGCGATCTTCTCTTTAGCAAATGCTTGCTAATGCAAGCGGCAGGCTCCAGCTGAGGGGAGAGATGCCCTGGCTGGGCAGGGGTGGGACAGCGGGAGCCAGGGCCTAGGGAGACTGGGGAGGGGAATTTCTCTAGCTTCCTCCCCGCCCCCCGGGCAGGTGAGCTCCCCGGCCAGCCCCTCACCTGGAACCCAGCAGGGCGAGGCGCCACCACGGCCGCCTCCTCCCCCTGCTCATCCCCGCCCCTCTCCCCGTCGGCCCGCCCCCTCGTGGGCGGGCGGATTCCCCAGAGGGAACCCCTGAGCACTGCTGGCTTGCTCGCTGCGTGCGGGGAAAGTTTTGCTGCGAGCGGAGGAGTTAGGAGGAGGGGGAGAGAGCGGAGCTGCCTCTTGCCTGAGCCGTCAGCTCCCTCAGCCCCGGGCGCGCAGCCACCGCCGGAGGAGGAGACCCGGGAGCAGCCGCCGGCTCCCGCCAGACCCCGGGCACTTTCTCTGCCACGCACGTGGGGTGGGAGCCGCTGCCAGCCGCCGGGGAGCGCGGAGCCCCTTAGTCCCAGCGCCGCCGCCGCCGCCTGGTGCCCGGGCAGCAGCTCAGCATGGTCTGCAGAGCCGCGGGGCGCGGACCCGGGGAGAGGAGCTGAGCGCCGCCGGAGGGACTAGGAAAGAGCCGCGCCGAGCCCCGGGGATTATTTCCCAGTCCGGGATGGGGGACTGCAGCCGCCGGCCCCGGGCAGCAGCCAGCGGGAGTCTCCGGGCCGGGAGAGCCGCTGTCCTGGTGCTGCTCCTCGCCTGCTTCTGCCTCAGCGCCGCAGTGGAGAAGAAGAAAGGTACCGATCGCGCCCCGGGGGGCTGGCCGCGCTGTGGGCAGCGGGGGGCGGCTCGGGGGGAGAGGGAAGGAGCCCCGCTGCCTCCAGGGCTGGGGGGCGGGGAAGCTTTAAACTTTTCCTCCGGCTCCATAGCTGGAGTTCCGGGCGCCGGCCGGCGCTCCTCCAGCGCTGCGCTGTCAGGGCCAGGGGGGCAATGTCCCAACTCCTTGGCCGCGCTGTGACAGCTTCGCGGCGTGCCGCTTCCTGAGTCTGGGGCTTACTTTCTCGGGGGGGGGGGAAAGAAAAGCCTTGGCACGTCCTTCCCCCTCACCCAGTAATCACACCACACCCATCTCCTAGGCTGGCTGAAGACAAAACGTCCCAGATTTTATCGGCACCTCTGTTAGCTCCCACTCTCCCCTTTACTAACTAGGGGGCCACGTTCTGCCCTGGCTTGGTTCCGCACGTGGGGCTGCCGGGGCGTGACCCAGCAGCACCTGGCCCGATGAGTTTCCTAAGCAGCTTGGTCAAGCAATCCCTCCCGGCGTGTCAGCGTGCACATCTTGTCAATATACTTGGAAGTGTTTTAGTGCCTTTCGGAAGCATCGGTGGTGGGGTAATAAGCCACGAGGGGAGAAGCAGTGGCAGGCTGCTGTGTCGGTTTCACAAGAGGTTAGGTTGCCCTACTAAGGGGTTACTGCCCCAGGCTTATTATCGTCTTCCTGTAACTAATGCAATATGGGGGGAGCCACGAATGATTCACATGCATGCCTGAGCCAAATAACTCATGTTCCATGCAAGCCTAAGTTTTATAACAACTGCAGTGATGTTGGTCTCTTCGCTAGTCATTCTCACCTGCTCCTGATCGTTTCCTGGGCATTGTTTATCTGTCCGACAGAAATACACCAAGGAAAAGGCTCAATATGTGTCCATTCCCCCCACTCTTCTTAAAAACGGGAAGCACTTGTACGTGTGGTGCCCAGTCTAAACAAACTGGCAAGCTTTATGAATGAACTGCATGTCTCTTACTGTCAGCTGCGCTTGCTGTTTCTCTTCTTATCCCCTGCACTGATCTGTGCATATTGAAAACTGTGTAGACTAGTTTACTGCAAGATTTTAATACGTTAAGGAACCGGTTTCAGTGTTGGGAGAAAAACAGCTTCTGGCTGGTCAACCCCCCACTCACCCCCCCCTTTTTTTTGTAAGTTTCAAGAGCAGACAGCCAAGTTCAGTTCCAGGGAAAATCGTCTTTATCTTGGAAATCCTCCAACAACAACAACACAATGCAGATTTTTGTTAAAAAAAAATCGCTTGAGAAAAGACCTGATAGTTGTAGAAAGTCTTTTAGAAGAGCTGAGCATAAGTGAGTTTGCATTTCGTGACTCTGGACAATAAAACCATCTTTGAAAAGGAGAAACACGCCTTTTAGAAAAGCTAATTACACAATCTTGAAATCAAGAGACACTCTGGTTCCAAGAAGCAAGTTCGTACCTGTTGTTGATGTAACGAGGGCAGGGTTTTGGGGGGAGTTGACTCCGTTTGCTGTGATTGTGCAGCTCAGATAAAATTGTTTTGAAACACAGACTGAGTTTAGGTGTAAGGGTAATACTAAAGGTTATAGTATTAAGAGGTAGCAATTGTTATTGTTTTATTGGTATTACTGTCCTGTCTAGGAGCCCTAGGTATGGACCAGGACCCCAATCTATTAAATAGCAGTAAAGACGTGATAACTGGTATGTTTTTTTCCACCGTATAATTGTTTGGCAGTAGCTTTTCACACCAGGAGAGTTAGACCTGTTGACAAAGATAAAACGCAGTATGCCATCTTCAAAATGCCAGTTGCCTGATAGTTCACTGTAATGTATGATCACTAAAGGTGAGCAGCAGAAGAATGCTTTTTGGTGGCGTGTTTTACTGCGTCCATTGAATTAACTGGTAAAATTACCATTGAAGTGAATGATACAGGATGAATCCTCATTTGAGAATCATAAAATAGCAGTTCCAAATTTTAACGTTTCTTTCAAAGTAATGGGTGGATGATAGATCAGACCATCATCATGACTCCAGAACCTGCCTCATGGTTCAGGTACATGGGATCATCCTTTTGATACCACATATCCTGGGCCCAGACACAGGGGGGCTGGAACGAGGGATGCTGGGGGTGCAGCAGCACCCCCTGGCTTGAAGTAGTAATAACAACCAAATACACAGTTTTTGCTTTCAGCCGCCCCACTATAAAAACTGATACAGCACCCCTGCCCTGATTGTAAATCCAAATATATTGTAATGAATTTGTGCAGCAATAGAAACCGATGAAGTGCTACAGTAAACTAAAATGATGCATCTGAGAAATTTTAAATTGGATGTACTTCTGAGCATTCAATTTTAAAAATTTCAACTGAATGTCACTTCTTTACTATACAAAGAGCTCATGCTAGTACAGTGCTCATTAGAGTGCCAAAAATGTACAACTTTAAGTTTTGGTTAAGGAGATGACTTCAACGTCAATTTTTTATAAAATTATATCTTTCTCCAAACTTTGAGAATTAAAAACAAATTTCAATACAGCTGAGAGACAACTGAATTTATTATTAATGTTGTTGACGTTTTAATAATAAAAAAGGAATCATGAACATTCCAAAACCAAACAAAACAGAATTATTGAAAATGTAAACACACCGAGATCAGAATCTGTCTCACACATGTTGGTTAACACAACAGTGAAGCTAACATGCATTTTCACCAATCCAGTCACAGTAATAGTTTTAATAGTAGTAATTTCCAGTAATAGTTGTGCCAGTTATTGTCTAGTGCACTTCATCAATAGCAAACTGAAGTGTAACTGGCAAATCAGTGGTAGCACTACAATTCAGATAACCTGCTTTCCACTGTATTCTGCATCAGGTTAGTTTTGATTTTCAGTGGTCAACCATTCATGTGAGCACAGTATTATACACTGGGAATGTGCAAGGCAAAATATTGGGCAACTCATTAACTACAGAGGTTCTCTTCGGTTTCCCATAGTGTCTGGTGTTTTGGATCTCTACTTTTCTTAAGGGTTTTTCATTTATTCATTTTAATATGAAATAAAAACACATGTCCAATACACTGCAACATTTGTACATCACTAAATGTATGTTAGTATGCATGTTTATGGTGTCTTTTAGATTATTCTGTAGACTGCACAGAACAAAATGTTTTACTCATGTTCAAATTTTGCTTTATACTGCTAAACCAATGGTAAAAGTTTCTTTTACAACTTTTGGGTCATATATTGTCATCTGTCTACCAGATACCAATGGGAATTGCATGTATGGGTCAAGGACATTATATGGTCCCAGATTTGAATCAGAGCCATATATTACGCTACATTCTAGCACAGAGTTCCCATTGACTTGCAATGGTAGTTTTGCATAAGAAAAGAAGGTGGAATGCCCTTTTAACATCTATGGGTTTGTCTACACACAAATACTTTTTGTAACAAATTAACTGTATTGGTTTAGAAACTGATATTGTTAAATTGGTGCAAACCCTGGTGTAGATGTGGTTATACCAGCATAAAAGTGTGTATATTAGTATAACTTATTTTGATAAAACAACATAAATTGTTCAAAAATTGTGTGTTGATCAGACCTTATTCTGGTACCTTATGTATGAAAAGCTTAATCCTACCTGTTTAAAAACAAACAAACAACAAAAATGTACCTCCATCCACTTAGGACCATATTTTACCCCCAGCCTTACTGCAAATATTTCATTACCTTCAAGGAATTTCTCATATGTAAGGAGGGAAACATATAGCAGTAAAGGTGCAGCCAAATGTATATCATATATAGCCCTTGGTTTTCATCCTCAATCTATGCTTCTGGCAAAAATGGTCAGATTAAAATCCTTGTGTGAGCAAAATTACTCTCAACAAAAGATTGGGTCTTAAATTAAGAATAACTATAGGAAATATATAGAAATGAATAAAATATATGCATAGCTGAGGGTAAAAAATGTGAATATATTATTTATTGCAACAACAGTGTATTAAGTGCTTTACATACAATAAAGAAAAAAAGGTACTTGCCCTTGAGACTAGTCTAAATCCATTGTAATCCATTTATTAATTTAGGGAGACAAACTCCTTCATGGAGTGTCAGACAATCTCATGACGTTTCTGAGGGCTGGCTCTTGCATTTGGGTATGTGCGTTTGCTGTAATCTTTGATAGACCAGTTTTAGGCAGCAGTATAAGTGACTGGTCCAACCAGTTTGTTCATAATGCTACAGTTCTTCCATGTTCCCTTTTAGATCAAACCTTACTTTGTTTTGTAACTCTTCAAGAACAAGCATAGTGAACGTACATGCCTGCCTTAACTCACTTTCATCAGATTGCCTGTATCTTGATGAATTGGTTTGGCATAGAAGTTGCTGATATTCCCAGTGGTGCTTGGGTTATTCCAAGTCTTGGTGATGCATGTGTGCATCAGGAGGTACGATCACCTTATATTAATGAATATTGTATTTAAGAAATGTACTAAGTTCACAAATATGCAAAATTAATAATCAGTATGTCATCTTACTTGCCTTTATATCATACACATAATGAATATTCCTGATTTACAATTACAGGAATTTCCCTCTAATTGCATTTTAGAAGGCGAGTTTCTACCCTGTAGAAATAGCCTCCTATCCAGAACAATCAAAATTTAGTCTCAGCTTTTTTGAGTTTCAACCTGCCAAGACTCTGGTAATGTTGGCATAATGTGAAAGCTATTAAAAAAGATGGCAAAGATCTTATTTGCCCCCATGCTGGAAAGAGTGTGCCAGCTTTTTGTTATGCAGATTTGCAATACAGCCATCATGTTAGATCTGCAGTTGCCTCTTGATACTTACATAGTCGCTATTGCCATGAATAGGATTTTGCTACAATTATTCATGCCTTTCTCATCTCAAAATTAGACCACAGTAATGTTTTCTATTTCAGGTTACTTCTAAAGACCATCCGGAAACTAAAGGTAGCGTGGAATCCAGTGT